GCATGAATCTTCCAGTAAAGCCAATTGACAGCTGGTCAAGAGGAATCCGCCGTCGTCTTCTGGTGGAACTCCGACCTTCGAATCTCTTAACCCAACACTTCCACTCGAAATGTAAGTGAGCTCAACAATTATGAAACAAGGGATTCCTCGAAACCCAACTTTTCCTCGTATGAGTGCTGTATCTAATGCCAATGCTTGCCGCAAATAGGAAAAAAACTTGGCATAAATTTATTCAAAACGCATATATTTACTGCTTCGAAACGAAAATAAAAATGATCCTATTTGGAAACTTAAACCAGTCAATGCAACGAGACTTCGTAGTCTTTTAAGCTATTAATAATATATGATTATCGAAAGTTTTTATCTTTTTATATGGATCAAGTTTGAGCTGGTTTTCGCAGTTATATCGTGTTTTCAACGAGATACGGAAGAGCGCAGTTTGTGCTGTATACTTTGCTATTGCTGCCATGCATTCCTCCAGTACCGGCCGTTTATCTGGTTGCCTTCTGGGACATTTTATCAGCTTGTTCACTTGTCATCGACATGATTTTTCTCGGTGCCTAGACTGGTTCTGTTCACTGACGTTGCGGGCGAATTGTCTACGAATGTACCCAGCAATCGATATGACACTAGAATGAACACATGATATAACTTGCAGAGGATTCATTAATGAGCATATTCTTTATGATTTTCATAATAACATCGCTGCTATATCAAACTGCAATTTAACCGATTATAAATTAGGCTAATTATTAATTTCTAGCACTGGCTAGTCAGTTTTTACAATATAAAATGAATGGGAAAGCAATTGAACATTTGAATCCAGTTGACAATGTATACTTAATAATTTGTGGAAAGAAAATATGTGGATTTTCCGACTGGGACAACCATCCATACAAGTAAGATTCTGAAGTAGATAAACTAATTTAACCAGTTAAAGAAGCCCTTTATTTCGGAAAGTATTGCGATCTGACTGCTAGATGTATGGTGTAGGAATCTTGGGTCGCAGCTGGATGATAAAACAGATACTGAAATTGGGGATAGTGAGGTTGATTGGAGAAGCTTTACAGAAGTAGAAAGGAATGATGATGGTAACCTCGTCACCAAAATGGGGTACTCTTAGGTCAATTCGACTTTGCCATGATACAGATGATCATGAGAAGACCAAAAAACGGTATACCGAGACTTGACGATGCATGCCAGAGGATTTTAGCCATTAAAAGCAAGTTAGTAGTAGTAGAAGGTGGTAGATAGAAAAGTAGACAGATCGAGTGCCTCTAATTTGCTTTGAAAGTGATTCGCAAAGTAGGAATTCCTGCTCTGTTGACGTGTTTTGCATTAAAAAAATGAAAGTTTAGCACAGGTTCATTGGAGTGAGCAGGACGGTAAGCCGAAGACTTCTTCACAAAACCTAACAGTCTACACGCCGAGGTAATCCTTCAGTTTCTGGCGAGATCATTTCACGAATTCCTTCCAGCTAACTTTTCCTTGGAAATAGAAAGTTATGTCACAATAATTCGTAACTTGGCCCCACCGGAAACCGTGGAGTTGTGACTGCGAATTTATGCGAAGTAATAATCATGAAGTAGTCAACAAAGTAATGTAATGCCTCATTTAGATGACAAAATTATGTAAAACTTCAGCCGGCATTTTTTCTTAACTTAATGTTTTGCTGGGTTTCCGATAAAGCCAGTTTATGGATTTCTCCCATTTGCCTCTTAAAGCGAAATGAATGGTGCATCGTCAGGTCTACAAAATGCTTGCTTTCAACTATTTCGGCAGACTTTGGCACCCATCATAATTCCGATTATGTCTATTGCTAAATGATTTCTTATAATTTCCCTCAATATCACATTCCCTAATCCACTAGACTTAAACTCTAATCTTTACTTTCTCTTCTCCATTCGTTTCTTCTGTACCAGGGGAAAGTTTACTCCGTCCGGCTAACAAGTTGACAGCTTCACTGCGCGCCTCAACGCTTCCTCTACGTCGACTTGAGCCAGCCGTTTCGGTAGGCTCAACAGCACGTGGCCCCGTCAAGGCACAAGTTGCCTCGGTAGACGATAGAAGTAGTATCGGAGAGGCCACCGTCAACTCCCCTGCTGGCCCCGAGGCTGATTTTAGAGCCGGCCCACTCGGAGATGATGTCTGCATGAATGTTGGGCATTGTAAAACTGCCACAGTCACTACAATGTCATGTTCCACGTCTACTGCTACCCCACCAACAACCTTTTCCGGCACTCACCTCCCTGCCGTGGCTCCAGCATCCTTGCCGGAAGCTGTGGTGGGATTTTCAAATGGCTCTGGTGCATTACTTCATTCCCATTGCCAGCCGCTCGGCCTTGATGAGTTTGGTCCTGCGGTCTCGACGACATCCTCACCTACGGAGGCCTAGAGGTTCTCCTCGTGCCAGTAGTATCTTCTTATTGTGCTATTGAGACTCGTTTTACATGTGGTATTTTGTACGCTAGTCTGAACATAGGCTCTCCAAGAGATGTGCTAGAGTTAATAGCAAAAAGATACAACTTTTTTGCATGTATGTGGGCCAGCATGCTAGTGCATATATTGAAATGGTTCCCTTACCTTCCTACAGTGTATATTATTTAGCTCTCTTATCTTCCTTCCATTTTTTGTATTGACTTATTAATCTCTCTTTTTACACGCATTTTCGGTCATTTATTTATATCTTTGTGCGTTCGTCTGCCCATCTGATCTTCTGTATCACCTGCTACGACATATTGCCTTTGCCCTCTTTCGCGTAGGCGAGTGCCCCGGTGAACTAATAGATTGGTCGAGTCACTTCGTGTAAATCATTCACATCTTTCTTTTGAGCTTATTTTTCCAGCTCTTTGGAATTCAATCTTTTCATTTTCATCCTTATATCTGTCCTTTTTCGTCATAATAGTTTCAAGCGTTTCACTAAAAAAAAGCAACAACTTGCGCTATTACTTCATGAGTTTACCTCGCACTTTATTGTACTTATCCGATCAATCACAAGAGACTTGCGTATGCGAACTGTGTTGGCTCTGCTAATGGAATTAATTCTACAGCTCCGATCCATTTGTGGTTCTGCTACCAAGCCCCATTCGTTATTCACCCCAGCTTTGCCGTGCTTTCCACTTTATTCAGCAGAGTCTACATTTCGTACTTTATTTTCCTGCTTTAAATATCGTCGCTTTTGTTTCATATTCGGTCTTACTTACACATTTTTTTGATTTTTTTTTGTTTTCATCTCATTATTTGTGTCTTCCTGTCTTTAGCTCGCAAAACTCGCATGGTGTCGTCTCGCCTACTTTGTGCCCTCTATTTTCATTCACTTTAACTTCATTCATTTATGACTACTTTCCTAATTTTTTTATTCAAAAGTTTACCCTTTTCCAATTTCTCTGCTGTCATCTCTATTTGGGCAGTTTATCATCTTGCATTTATCCTTTTCGTGTACTTATTTTGAGCCCTCTAGCTGAGGGCTCAATACTCATAAACGAGCCTTTGTGGCCAAAATGATTGCTTGAACATAAGCCCTTTATCTCGTACATGATGCCTTCTATTCATCATCATGCATGCACTTGTAGACATGTGTAAATCACTGCAAATATCAATTTCATTCTCTCCGCTTGCATACGCCTCTTAACATTGGTACCTTCATATTTGGTAGGCCCTAGGCGTTTTAGCATCAATTCCTCATGTACTTTAACATCCTTAGTAATACAACGAAATACTGGTTTTCTGGCCAACAGGGTCTAGCAGCCATTGTTTTTATTAATTTTATCTTAAATCGCCTTGTGATTCTAGATCGTTTGAATAAGATTAAATAATGCCTTAATATTCAAGAGCATATCGGAGATTGGCATCAAGAATTCTTATCAGACATCTTTTACGGGACTTTTCTTTTAATTCCTTTAATAATAAGGCATTCATCCCACTTTTTTTTAGCATGGATCCACATGGATTTCAACATCTTTTCACAGCATGCTTAAATTCTGGGCTTGTACTACCTTGCTGTGTATTGCCAAACACGAATCAGTACAGCTGGCTTTTATCTTCGTGGTCGCTAAGGCCTCAGGGATCCTTAAATTTAGACTGATCCTTATTCCCATCTCTTGAATGGCGACAATATCCTCAACATCTTTCATTTCAAGCGGAGTGAATATACCTTTGTCGATTTTTGTGTACTTCCTTCTCTTTTTTTATTTGTCTTCCGATTAGATTGATGTATAACTTATCAGATTTCATCCCTGACTACCCTTAAAATGGATATTAATACGTCATTACCGTCATAATAATCTCTTCCTTAATATATATATATATATATATTGTCATCTCTTTGTAGGTTCCATTATGTCAGTTCATGCACATTCTTATCACCCCTCGAATCCAGCAGAATACCCTCATGAGGGTACCAAAACGCGATTTAAAAGATCTTAAGAATAACTTGCCATCTTTCTAAAGACGTTAATTTCACAATTCAGGCTTCTGAATGTTCATTGTGACTCTTCTATCATATTGCCCTGCATGACAGGTCCTCTCCCACTTTCTTGACACGTGACTACTGAGCATCATTTTTCAGCATCCATTTTATCAAAGAGATTTTGCCTTTAAGTTCAGATTTCAATTTTATACTTTCATTTTCATCATCCAAGTTCATTTCCGTACAGAAATATGTATTTCTTTTGGAATGCCCGAACAATTGGG